GGAAAAAAAAAAAAAAAAAAAAAAAAAAATGAAACGACTTGTGGTAGGTGACAGGAAGTTACTTGAAAAATAGCGAGTTGGGTTTGGATCTAAGAAGAAAAGCTATATAAACAAGGTTTGACTTGAGCAATATTATCAGGACGATGCAGGCCAGAGGAGGAAATTAAGCCGGTCATGTCATAAATATGAGAGGCATTGGATGCATAAAAACAGATCACTGAGTGGTACTCATGCAAAGCTAAATGAACACGAGGGAGACCGCCAGCGCAGTGGGAGGTTTCGTCCAAGTGGTCGTGTAGAATTATGTGTATGAGAGAGACCCAACATGGATGAGAATTGAGAAGGTACCAAGTGCATCAATGAAAGGAATGTGACAGTGAAAAAAAAAGGCGCTGATGAAAGCAAAGATACGGAATTAGCAAAAATTTCTTTACTGCTGAATGAAATCTTTAAATTTTGCTATGGAGCAATTGCTGACTGTTTTAATAAGGCATTGCACAGGCTTGGATTTTCTTCAAGAATGAACAAAGACAAGTTTGTTTTAATTGGACTAATAATTTAAATTTTGAGGCGAATGCTGACGTCATACAGACAGTTGAAGTGTTCGCGAATGCGGAGGCGAAATGGAAGTGGCTGCTCGGCCATTTGGTCCAGTTCTCTTCCAGTAAGTTTCTGCTCAAAGTATTACATTCCACTACTAAAAATAATCAATTTTTTCCCCCCGCAATGGTATCAAAATGCCACATAAACTAACCTACTTTTCTCTGTTCATTATTCGCCGCTCAACTTTTTTTAAAAAAAAAAAAGCAGTACCATATGTAGGTGTTGATGGTTGGAATGAATTCGAGCGCAGCATAGTATTTCATAGTGTGTTTTTTTTACAAATAGCTATGTGAGATCGTAAGCTTGGATCACTTTGAGCGCTTTATTGGATCTGTATTCCATCCATTGGTAACAGCGAAATTGACAGATAACCACTTTCTGGCTGGTGACGATAGGCCCGACTTCTTTGCATCTATCTCTTCCGCTTCCGTACCGGTCAATTCCATTTTGTCACCTTTCAGCTTTGTAGTATATAAAGTCCTTCCCAGTATTTTATTTTACGCACATCAAGGATGTCGCGTGATGTTCTGTTGATTTTCTGAGGAAATTTCCACGAGTTCATGTTTCACCGGCGGCTTATGGTTCTAGGCACATGTCAAGTGAATCAGACTGCTTTGTGGTTCGTGCTGTGATTATCTGAGACTTGTAGCAGCCCTTTCTTCACTGGTTGCTGATTTGCCGTTTTTTTGTCAGCCTTACTTCGCGTTTTTTTTTTCTTTTTTACCATGCCGCATCGTATATCCTATAATTTGTATTTATGCGTAACTGCATTATCTTTACTGCATTACCATCCACTGATCGGGCTGATAGTGATCCGTATCGCTTTGGCTTAGCTGAACAAAGTACGGCGCAGTGCGTTCTTGGCATGCTTCGAGTTGCTCTATCCCAAGCATCCCTCATTTTTTGAGTCATTCACGCATGATGAGGTTTTTGGGTTGAAAATGATAACTTGCTACAGACACATGTCGTGAATGGCATCATCTTATTTCTAGCAATTTTCGGTGCACTACTGCTTAGGTTGCTGCCAACTGCTTCTACCTTATGCGGAATAAAATTATGGGCGCCGGAGAAGCAGTATTAAATTGGGCTTGATTTATTACAACGCTTTAAGTACATTTTTGTTTTCCATCGTTTTTTTTTTTTTTTTTTTTCTATCAGCTGTGTCGTTACAGTTGGTAAAGTGCTGATTTTTGTGACGAAGAAGTCGAATTCGGAGGATGTGGCTAATCGTCTACGCGTCAAAGATTTCAGTCCAGTCCTTCTACATGGCGATATGCTGCAAAATGAACGAAACGAAAAGCTACAAGCGTTTCGAAAGGAAGCTAACATTATGGTTGCTACTGATGTGGCAGGTAGGGCACGATTTTTCCTATATTGGTAAGGTTGCTTACAAGCGCTTGAGAATAGATTCAAGCCAACTGATGTGAGGACTGAAAGATCGATTCTCTTGTTAGCAAAAAATAGCCGTTTTTGAAACATGTGGATGCTCTGCCAATCTTCCACGATGTAAGGGATCTGCAGATTTAAATTCAGCCTCCCCGTACCTGTGGGTAACACGTACGGCCACGTAAAAGTTTTTCGGGTAAAATCATTATTTGGGAACCACGGAAGCTAGGAAGCTGAAATTTTATGGGTATGTCCTCTGACCACGTGCGACCCAAAAAAAACTAAAATCCAACCTTCCTGTACCCTCGGATAACACGTACGGCCCCGTAAAATTTCTGGCGGGTAAACTGTTATCTCGCGGACCGCGGAATCTGGGGATCTGATAGGGTAGTGACCCCTGCCCACGTACGGCCTCGCAGATTCAGTGTTCCCACACTTTCGGGTATCACCTACTTCCCCTTGAAACTTTTGGCAAGTAAATTATTATCTCGGGAACCGCGGAAGCTAAGAGCTGAAATTTTGTGGGTCTGCCCCCTGATCATGCACAACCCAGAAGACTCAAATTCAATTTTCCCGTACCCGTGGGTAACAAGTACGGCCCCGTAAAATTTTGAAGGGGAGAATTATTATGTCGGGAACCACAGAAGCTGGGAAGCTGAAATTTTATGGGTATGTCCTCTGCCCACGTGCGACCCAGAGAACTTAAACTCAACTTTCCCGTGCCTGCGCTTAAGAAGCACGGCCTCGTACAGTTTTAGCGAGTAAAATCATTATCTCAGGAACTGCGGAGGCTAGGGAGCTGAAATTTTATGGGTATGCTCCTTGACCATGTGCATCCCGGAAAATTTAAATTCAGTTTTCCCATGCACTTGGGTATCGCGTACGACCCGTGAAAGTTTTGGCGGAAAATTATTTGGGAAAGCATGAAAGCTAGAAATCTGAAATTTCAAGACGATATTTTCTGCCGCTGCAGGTATCTCACAAGCTCCAATTTAGCTCCCAAGTTGGCGGAGGTCTTACATAAGGCCACGTGAGAATTGTGATGTAAAAGTCGCTATCTCGGAAACCGAAAAACTACAATGTTGGAATTTGGAGGGATGTTCTCCATCCATGTTTTCAAATTCAGCTTTCACGTATCGGCACATGAAATTTTCAGTGGAAAATTTCTCACCCTAGGAGCCAGAAAACATGTCTGTTTTTTTTCATATGTGGGAGTGTAAAACAGTTATATTTTTAGTAAACAAACGTCCGCCGGACGGAATTGCACAAAACTCATGATCGCATCGGCTACCCTCGTGCGCTTCGCTGTTTATTACATTTTAAAAGTGCTGTTTTGTTGTTTCACTTAAAAAATGTATTGTGCATTTTTGCTTTATTTTTTAGCTCGTGGTTTGGATATTCCGGAAATCAGGACTGTAATTAATTTTGACTTAGCACGCGACATTGATACACATGTCCATCGAATCGGAAGGACTGGTCGAGCAGGTATCCTTTCTCTTCAGTTCTGCAAATCTTAGGAATTTTGGTTTTGAAGGACATAGTTATTCGCTTCAGTATTCTTTTAAACGATTAAGTATTCAGTCAAATTAAAGTGATGATTCCCACCCCTAACTACGCATCCTGCTGTCTGTGTTTACAGCTTGGGGATGAAACACAGACAGGCTTTTTTTAAATACTGCTCTTTACATGACTTTTTTTAAATGCCACCCTGTTTTTTAAAAAATTTTCGTCATAACAATCTGCCTTTTTTATTTTCTTTCTCTCATTACCACATCGAACTCTGGGCGGCCACCGTCCCACCCCTGCATATTCCTATTTCAAGTATGGTCGGTACCGCCCTTGCCGCCTAATACGCTTCGCTGATTGGGCAGCTGTTCCGGCCCCTTCTTACTTTTTCCTTCACAGGGCATTTTAGGCCCGTACTGTCTTTTGTTTTAAAGTGCTGATTTACTAGCTTTTTTAAAGGATTGCACTGAGAAGCGGCATGAGACTGGTTAAAAGCAAAGGAATGTTTAACTGAAATAAAATTTATGCTAGTCTGATAAGCCAGACAGTATGGCTTCGTACAGACGATACTTTTCGCTTCGTTTGTGGATTA